GGGGACGGGGGACGAATGAACTTGTTAAAATCCTTTCCCAGTGAGAAACGCACATCCATATCAGAAGGTCTTTTAGTCTGCCAATGCGTGTAACAGTGTGTACGGACGTGTCAGACCAGCGGCCACAAGAGAGAGACACACATGATCAATCCGGCAGTCTGTCCTTCAGAGAATATATGAGAGAGACATAGATAAAGAGAGCTGGGTCTGTTCCGGTCCCCTCCATTCACTGCAGTCCCATGATTCACAGTCCAGGAGGAGACAGTGGATGGTGGGTACAGTTCTCTCCTCTCCTTTGCACTGGCAGCTGCTGTCTTTCTCACAAGGAGGGAGGCGTTTAGAAAAGGGGCGAGTGAGGGGGAGAGCGTCCCCCCGGTGAGTCCGCTCTACCGCTGGGTCTCGCTGCCAGGCAGGGTGATGTTGCCCAGGTGCAGGACGGGCAGAGGATGGGCCTCTGTGTTGAACACCCAGTTCTCAAGAGGCAGCAGCTCATCGCTGGAGAAAAGTAGATAGAGATACCTACAGAAACACACACATAAGGATCATACAATTAACTTGATGTTGATAGCAAACTGGGTCACGGATCCGATTCAAACACATTTGGCAATGGGAAACTGCAGTGTTTCAATGACACCAGCAGGTGGCAGTAATGACCTGCTGTCTTTCCACTCCTATTTCCTTTGCAAATCCCACTTTGTTTAGCTAATAGTCACTGCTTTTCACAGTGCTAGTTTTATGCTGCATAGTTACCTTGACCATTATTACATTAACAGAAAATAATAACATGTACTAGCTCAATGAACTAAAACAGTTTGTGCTACTATAGCGACTCAGCTTCAGCATTGTATTGTTAAATGAAATGATATTTACTTGAGCGTTTCAGCCAGGAAGAAGCTTTGCTGGACATCATCGTAGGTGGGGTTGGAGGAGTAGACGTCTTTAACACCAGAGAATCCTCCGCTTACTCGGCAGTATTTATCTATAGCCTGCAGAAAATGTGGATAAAGTCTAGGGTCAGTAAGAGCTTTTTTTTTTTAAAGAAATGAATAATTATTCAGCAACAACGCATAAAATATATTAAGCAGCACAACTGTTTTCAGCACTGATAATAATTAGAAATGTTTCTTTAGCAGCAAATCAGCATATTAGAATGATTTCTGAATGATCATGTGACACTGAAGACTGGAGTAATGATGCTGAAAATTCAGCTTTTCCACCACAGAAATAAATTACATTTTAAAACATATTCAAAGAGAAAACTGTTATTTTAAATTGTAATATTATTTCATAATATTACTGTTTTTACTGTATATTTTTACAAAATATGCCAACCCCAAACCTTTGAACAGTGGAGTATATATAATATTACATATAATAATATTATATTTGTCCCCATGACAGCTAATACATTGTTTATTTTTTCTGAATTTTGATTTACTTTCACAACTGAATTGACTTTTTCTTGCAAATTTGTGAAAAATGGTGAAGGTGAAAGATGATAATCCCGGCACCTTAGATGAACTTTTGATGGTAAAGGTTGTTAAAAGATGCTTGAGTCATGACTATGTCTTTGATTTGAATTATGCACATATCTTACAACAGCGAGGGCCAGACTATTGTTCTTAAATTCGATTAAACCATGTAATATCTTGCAGTTTCTAATAAAGTTTCCATCCAACTGGTGAGTAACTCAGGCTAGCTCAGTTCCAGATGTACCATTTCCCGTGCTTTAGCTCAGAAAGATTGCCTATACAGTATGTGCTATATCAAGTGAAACCCCGTCCTAATCACCACTTTATGACTGCAAATCAAATCAATGCATAACTGTGTACTCGCAGTAATGACAAGCCAAAAATAGAATATATACGAAGCCGCTCTATTTTTCTGGCCCTGTTCTCCAGGAACCAATAATGCTCCATTAGTGCTGTTCCAGCCTCTGCAGGCAGGAGTGATGCAAGCCATCCGTGCCAGGAAAACATGGCATGATGTGCTCACCTACCTGGAGCAGATCTGCCTGAAACAGCTGCTACACTGAGGACTCACCTCACACGGTTATAACGCAACAGCAGCTGGCCTGATCCAGCCTCCTATTAAACCATTCAACAGAGATTCACTCAAGACTTGCAGCTTCATTTCCTCTATTTTCCATTTAGATTGCCTTTGGATCATCAAACATCTTTAAAAACACTGATTTAACCACACTGTTGAGTATAATCTTTATCAACTCTCAAAATGAATTTCCATGTTTCCCATACTACACCTTCTAATGTTATGATGCCTAAATTTACTTGTAGCATTTAAAACAACAGACTTTAGTTTTTTAGGGTTTTATTGTTTTTTATATAAACCATAGATGCCCAAACTTCAAAAATCAACTAAACCGACCATCTTACTTCACATGAGATATGGTAGAACTGGTGAGAAAATCTTAACTAATCCTGCAGATGAGAGTGGACACCAAACAAACAATACCATTTATCTACACAAAGAAGAGCGATAGGAACGCAAAGAGAAGAGACGGTGAGACCCTGAGATTCTGGAAAGAAAGAGGTGCACAGAAAGAGCTGGAGACAGAAAATGATAAAATTAGAAAAAAAGGAAAAAAGAGCTGATAGCAACGAAAGAACTTCTGTGACTGGGAACAAGTGAGCTTTATTCTGCTCTCTTTCTCTTTTTACAGAAATGGGAAGAGTGAAAATGAGGGAGGGAAGGAGAGAAAGAGCCCAGGCACCCAGCGGCTCATCAAAAGAAGCTGCAACTGCAGTGAAACAGTACTGTACCAGCAGAACAATGACACCCAATCAGAGACAAAACAATGACGCTCCATTCTCAAGAGCACTTTGAAACTGTTCTAGAAACACAAACACATTCCCTAAAAAACACAGCCCAGGTCTGGCCGGAGTAAGAGTGACATGAAAAGAAAGGGAAGGATAAATCTAAAAAATAGAGTGATAAACAGATACGGATAAAGAGGTACAGGACTACTACGAGCAGCAAAAAGATGCCACCGATAGAGCGACTGGGACTACAGATGGATATCAAAGTGATGAGATATGGGTTTAGATACTAAGAACATCCTGTGCCGTATACACCGTCTGACCTTATTCTGTCTCTGATATCTGGCTGAACTCTGATGGCTGGAGATACCAGCCCTGTGAGATGTGAGTTAAACTTCTGTTTGCGTTGCTCGTGCCCTAGCTTTGTGCTGGTGATCTTTGCAAAGGCAACAAAAAAGTTATATCATGACAACTCTCAGAGGGTTTGGCATGGTAATGTACATGTCAATGTTCATGTGTTTGGTCTTAGAATAGATCTGCTACGCTGCTGCTGCCGCCAATACATCCACAACATGCTGCTGTGAGCATGTAACAAGTACTACTGCTGCACATATAACACATATGAAATAACCCCAATATATAGCATACATGAATCACCGCGTAGCAGATCTGTACAGGTGGAGCTGGGGAAGGTGGAGGGTTAATGAAGCGTGCTGCAACTGCTACAGCAAGCACTAGCCAAGTATTTGAATGTTGAGCAGCAAGTTCACTGGCTGCTGATATAAAAAGAACCAATCAGCTGCACCATACGATGATGTCATTATGTCAGATTGAGTTAGACCTATTGGACTGCACCATCTAGAGCTTCATGACAGAATTTTGGATTTGTGTTCTCTTATTGAATGACAGTGATATTAAACATCTGGCTGACACAATAAGGTGATTATTTTTGTCATGTTATGGTTGTTAACCAATAAATGGCAGACTTTAAAAATGTAGTTTATTTTGTAAAAAAATAAATGAAAATAAAACATTGCAATCCAGTTATTATCCAGTACTTATTGAATACAGGCATTCTAATATTAGAAATGCAGAGTATGAAATATGGATGACCATTTATTTTAAAGGTTGACATGAGAAAGTCCCTAAAATAGAGATGAGACGTTTATTACAGGAAAGCGCAGTTTAAAAAAAATAGTCCTCTTAAAGAATTAAATCACTGTTATGATCTAGCGCTATTCCTTTCAATTGCCAGTAAACAAAAATTTCAGAAAGCAGTTTCCAAAATTAATATCCAATATTTAGTTGTAGGCACTCTTTTCCTAGGATATTTAATGAACTTAATATTTATACAATATTCAACATCCAGTAAAAATGTATTTTCCAGCTAAGCATCTTAATTTGAATCACTACAGTGATTTGTTACATATTACAGTAAAAAAGCCAAATTAATAAACATTTGCATTGCATACATACACACACACACACACACACGTATATACATATATATATATATATATATATATGTATATACATATATATATTTTATGTGTGTGTGTATACCGTATATCTTTATCACTGGAAAGAGATGCTGACCTGCACTGCTTCCCAACCCCACTGCCTGTATTTGGGGTCGTGGGTAAATCTCCACATGTACCAGTACGTCTCGATGACCTCAGGCCTCAGGATATAGTATTTCTCATTCTGTCTCACAGCCACTGCTTCCAGCCCACTGTCGAACTTAAAGGCCTCTGGGCCGAGCTTCAGCACTGCAAATAATAAAAGGTTTATGCGTTCAGTACTATTAGTTGAACCTTCGGCTCTCATGGTGCTATAAACGTGAAACTATCTGTCTGAGAGCCTGTTGTGGCTAAGCTGCAATCCATCAATGTCTTCCAGTCAAGTTGTGTGAAATAGAAATGCCATACTCTAAAAATAACCTGTAGTGTTACCATGGCAACAAACCATGCTACAAATTAGATTTGAAGTCCAAAGATCTCATGCATTTTTTTATACCTTTCATCTCTCTCTTGCCCCCTCACATATTCACTAACCAGTGCGATCGTAGCTTTCGTGGCAGGTGTGTGCAATCTCTGCTCCGAGCTGCAGATAGTGTCCAGCTTTATCATCTGGCGACCCATCAGCCCCCAAGGCAAACATGCCCCCAGCAAAGCAAGTCAGGTGACCCATCTTACGCTCCAAGTGGCCGTTTTTCCACTCCCCGATGAAAGTAAGGCCACCGTTGGACTTACGGATGAGGTGGCGCTCGATAGCCTGTAGGAAGAGAAAGAAAGAGAGAATGAACAGAGAGAAACTGATGCAGCACGAAACACACAAATTGCCATTGTAACCTGCAGCCCTCACCTCGATGGCATCATCGTACGTCTTGCGTGCCTCTGTGTCCGTTTTATCAGACATCAGCCAGGCCTTCAACAGGTACTCATAGAAACTATCACCCAACCCACCTACTGAGGTGTGATCTGCAGAGCAAGAGAGACACAAGGATAAGCTTAATAAATGTCTGTTGCTGATGGTAAGGACAAAAAACAACCTCTAATAGTTATTAAACTTAGAGTAAAGTGAGTTTAATACTTCAAAATGACAAAACTAGCCTAATTAGATACCTCTAAATTCCAAACTTTGTGAACATGCATTCAACTGGAGCAAAGAAAAGCCTGCTATGATTCTTTTGATTACTCTGTTCATAGCTCAGTCTTTTAATGTGCCTGAATGCTGCCATAAAAGTGTATTCAGGCTTGACACCGACCCTCATTACAATAAAAATGCACAAGTGAGCATGTTTTCGCTGGCGTTTATTCAGCGTGGACACACACCAGCACACACCTAATCACTTATAAACACAGCCATCGAGTGTGTGTTCCACTTTGACACAGCTAATGACTCTGCAGAGTGAGTGTGTGTAAAGTGTGAGTGTTTGACAGGCTGGGAGTCATTTGTGCCGGTAATGGCTCGTAATGGCAACCTACAACAGAACATGTAAACAATCTGTGTTGACTTGCTGTAGAAATTAAGAATGAAATATTGAAGATATTGAACATGGACAGAAACAGAGAATATTAAAAAAGAGGCACTAGGTTAGAGCCATGGCCTCGTGATTAGCTGATATCAATGAGGTATCAATCAGAGTTTGAGTTTATTAATCTATCTGTTTCTTTGACCGTCTGTCTTTCTATCTATCTATCTATCTATCTATCTATCTATCTATCTATCTATCTATCTATCCATTCAGCCACGTTATATATCTATATCTTTCTGTCCATAGCATCTGTATGTCTGTCCATCCTTCCAGCCAATCTATCTGTCTATATCCATGTCTGCCTATCTGTCCGTCTGTGTTATATTCTATGTAGGTTTACCTACGACGTTTGTATGTCTGTATGTCCATCCATCCATCCATCCATCAACTTGTCTTTGTATCTATATTATCTGTCTTTAATGTCTAATATCTTGTTTATCTGTATGTCTATATTAGTTCTATGTCTGTCTGTCTATCAATCTATCTAGTCTGTGTCGCTCTATCTGTCTGTTTGTCTGTCTGTAATATCCATCTTTCTGTATGTCTATATTGGTCTATCCATCTGTCTATCTATCTGTTTGTCTGTCTGTCTGTCTAATATCCATCTGTCTGTAACCATCCATCCATTGGTTTGTCAGTCTAATATCTTGTCTATCTGTATTTCTGTTTGTCTTTGTCTGTCTATCCATCCATCCATCCATCCATCTATCTGTATGTCTATGTCTGTCTGTCTGTCTATGTATCTATCTAACTATCTGTATGTTTATATCTATGTCTGTGTTTATCTGTCTGTCCATCTATCCATACATTCTCTCTCTGAGTGTCAAGATTAACAAGGAAGCTTGTTAACCCATTTGGGAAACAGACAGGACACACAATCTCCAAAGGAGAACAGGAAGTGTGAAGTGTGTGGGAGGCAGAGGAGTGTATACTGTACACTTGCTGTATATAGTATCATAGAAGAGCGAGGGAGGAGCCCATTAGCACTGTCACAGCTCATATCTGCCACGGTTAGCGATCTGTACTGCATTCAGCCTGCTGAGAGAGAGCTAGCAGGGCAAATGTTCATGAGATAAACTGCCAAAAGCCATTATGGAAGGTCTTTAGAGGAGATTGGGGGTGGAGTACAGATTCAGAGGTGATGTTTTACATGAGATAGGTGTGAACACGCAAGTGACACGGCTAAAAACTGCATATGCAAAAGCTAGTTTAAAAATCAGAGCGAGAACTAAAGAAATCAATGAGGCAGCAACGAGGCAGGAGGCTGAAGCACTTTATGAGAGATCCTTTACAGAGACACTGAGACAAAGTAAAAGATGTATTTTATGCTAATGGATGCGAGGGACTGACCTGGTAGAGGCAAGACGTAGAAGCTGAGATGAATTATTCAACAGGAGAGGGAAAAAAAAGAGAGGTAGGGGGGAAAAAAATGAATAGAAAGTGAGAGAGAGACTGAGACGTCCAATAACAGGCCACTTGTAAGTAACTCTTACTAGTCCGTCCTGCTGCAAGAGGCGGGGCATTTTGGAATATAGAGAAAAAAATTGTGTACATTTTCTGCAGAAATTATCAGTGCAAAAGCAATGCTGCAGGTAATTCCCAAAATGTTGCCACGTGGTTGCCAAGGAATTGCTTACAGTGCCAATTCAAAAGAGCCCAGGTCTCTATGATATTCTTGTCCCCAGATATGGCTCAGATGGCTCCATAAATTGAAGCTTGAGTTTTTCTGTCATTCTAGGCAAAGATTGCTTGAAAGCAATATTACACTTTTCCTCAACACGTCATAGACGTATCATTTATGCCCCAAGGACAAACAGAGCAGGATGCGTTAGGTTAAGATTTAAGTGATTCTTGGCTTTGCACGTAATACTAATAACTAAATATGGATAGAGCTAGAAAAATGTATAAGAAGAAATAGTTCAGAGAATGTGTGGATCTTGACAGTGTGAGAATCTTGACAGGTTGAAAACAACAGAGAGGAAAACAAGCTGCTCAGAGACAGCGAAAGGAATGGAGAAAAAAGGTACAGAGAAAGAGGCGAATGTGTGCGAGCAGCACAGAAAGAAAGGTGGTAGAATCATAATAAATATAATAAAATAAACATTATCAGTGATTAAGATGATGAATAATACATAGATGGTGCAGGCTGATGTGCAGTGAGACAGACAAAGGAATAAAGAAAAGTTGTGGCAGTGGAAAGATTGATTGAAGCAGAGACGTTTCAGACTCATAAACCCTCAAAAATCCCAGTCAGACTCCCATAAACCGTCTGGGCCTTTATTTCACAACCTCTTCTGGCACGGCTGCCAGTCATCGAACGTCTGGATTTTCACTTCTGCCAATCAAAAACAACTCCCTAACGGCCTCCCGCTGAAAAGTAAATGCACTCAAAGTCTTTGAATAAAAAACAACAGGGTGGATTTGAGTAACAATCAAAGATCCAGGCAGGAAATCTCTACAGAGAGGCTTGGCCGACAGCAAGCGGACAGGTCATGGATAGAGAATGACGGGCTGAGGAGGAGATGTGGATCTAAAATCTAAAGGCCCCTGGAGGTGATGCAGTAGAGACGTGGAGAGAGAACTTTAAAGGGGTAGTTCACACAAAAATAAATGTTCTGTCATCATTTAATCCCCCATCCGACTTGCATGGAACACCCATAGGAGATGTTTAGCACAATGTCCAAGCTGCTTGTGATACACAATCCCCATTCACATAAACTCTATCGAAAAACTTATTTTGCGTTCCACACAGGACAGAAAGTCATTTGAAATTAAATGAGGGAGAATAAATAATGAGAGAACATTATTTTTGGGACCTGTCCCTTTAAGGGTCCACAGGGCAGATGCAGTGCGAGAGAGGGAATAATACTCTGCTGTAATGGCCTGTCACTCACGCCGAGTTTTCATTTAGAAAATAGATCTCTAGTGCACCTTAATTACATTTTACCCCTTTGGACACACACATACACCATCAGACTTTACTGGAATTTAGTCTTTGTGTGCATGTGTGTGTGTGTGTGTGCGCGTTTGCTTGCAGTGGGTTGATCAGGTTTAGCCTTTAGATGCAGGGCACTAATTAAACCCTCATCTCTCTCAGTAATTAAGAGTTGGTTAAAACACAGTGGAGTGTTTTCACTACAGATAATTACTAATTATACATAAAGAAAGAAACTTCCTCACATCCCATCTTTATTAAAGCTCGTTGATCAGGGAGATGAGGTTAAGCTGCCATTGTCGTCGTTCACATTTACAGAATAATAAATCCTGGTAGAGGGATTATGAAAATCATCCGTGTCTATAAACAGGCTTCACAGAGTGGTATTTTGGATCCTCCATTTGATCTGAATCTCTTATGATTATTGCAGCAATACGAATAACAAAACAGGGCTCAGAAATGAGAAAGGCCTGCTGGGCCGAGTGAGTGAGTCTCAGATTAGCACGTTGTAACTATGTTACATTTGTTAATGATATACAATATCTTTCAAGTTTGTGGTCAGTTTTCCCCTCAAATAAATGCTGTTCTTTCAAACTTTCTATTCATCGAAAAATCCTGAAAAAGTGCATCATGGTTTCCACAAAAAACTTAAGCAGCACAACTGTTTTCAACATTTATGATAGCAAATGTTTCTTGAGAACCAAAATGATTTTTCTATTTTAAATAGCTGTAATGGATTTACAGAAATTACTGCTAAATTATAAATTCAATATAATTTATTTAATAAATTATAAACTATTTATTAAAATAATGTTTAACACTTAACGCAAAATGTTGCCAGACAGTAAATAAAATATAATAAAAAAATGTATAATATAATAAATTTAAATTTGGCATAGTAAGTAAAAATTGAACCTGACTAAAACAACAGAAAAATATATATTGGATATACTTTAAGTCTATTATATCAGCAATCTTGACCTTCACTTGCATGCTCATGACTCAAAGGCTTTTCCAAACAATACGTAGCAAAACTGTCTACATTTGTTGTTTCGAGCCAAACCTAAGGCAGCATTTCATGTATCATTCATGGATAAAGTAGTCCCAGAAAAAAAAACATTTATGGAAACAAAATTCATCTAAGATAGTGGACAGAGTCCAGAGAAAAATCTATTTTATTCAGTGCTATGAAACACTAATTGCAAATTCTTCCACCTACTTATAAAGCATAATTTTACCCAACTGTTGTGTGTGCAGTCTTTTTTTTTTTTATCTACCACAGCATCAAGATCATGTTGTGGGTGTCTATAACCCTCTTTATTTCATACAGTGTGAGAATTCACAAAATGCCTTTTGTGGTGAAGTGGAAAGTGAGAGTTGCTTGTGCAGCACAGAGGATGTTAGTGGGAGGCACTCACGCTGGCCCCAGCGTCCTGTGCGTGGGTTCAGGTAGTTGGGGTAAAGTCCGTTGGGTCTGTCCATCTTAGCCAGCAGCTTCCGTATGTGCATCACCTAAACCAGAACACAAACAGAGTTCACAACAGGACACAGACACAAGGGCCAACACAGTTACACAACACTCATACACCCAAGCGTACCTTCTGATAGTAAGCAGGGTTTCCAGTCAGATATGTCAGGTGCACAAACTCCATGTGCAGCGTCCCGAACTCAGCCAGAATACTGCTTCCAGCTGATGCCCAGCCCCAGTTACGCCCCACTCCACTGAAACAGACCGAAGGAAACACCCATGAGATTTACGTATAGTATGTTCCTTACTAGCCTAAAGCAAACATCCACCTTCATACGTTTGCAGCGTGTAGACAATGAAGAATTACTGCGAGCTCATTTAAGTCAAACAGCTTCATTCCCGGTCCAAACGGATTCACTGCCACCCATCATTCCTTCCGTCAAGCCCAATATCCTGTGCTCTACTTGTACTTCTCATTTCCATGCAGAATGTATCCACAGTGTGTGTGTAGACTGCGAAAGGCTGCTCTACATGAATGGGGATTAATAAAACACAGCATCGTTCTTTCCCTCAGGATTAAAGACACCCAAAATGCGGTGGTCTCGTCTGTTCCCGAGCAATTTCTTCTAAACACCCAATTAATTCACAAAGCCGTGTCAGGCTGGATTTGACCCTCCTCCCTCCTCAAACACAAAAAACCCTTAATGCACATTCACAATGCGCTCTGCAGATTAATTGTGCAATTTTAATTTCATTCTAATGAAATTATGTGGAAAGTCGAGTTAAACAGGAAGAAAGCCACAGGGATTTTCGTAGACGCACAAGGTCTAACAGCCTTCCATTATGTGGCAGCCCCCATCAGGACAATGAGGGGAGGACAGACAGCATGGGAAAAAAGAGGCAAAGAGAAAAAAAAAATGAAAGGACGAAGGCGTGAAAGGGAAGGTGTGTATGTAACATACCTCTTCAAATTGACCATGGCCCAAGGGATGCCTGTTGGGGTGTTGAAGGCAGGAAGCAGCTTTTCTGCCAGCTGGACAGCCTTCACCTTAAAAACCTAAGAGACAGAGACATACAGAGGAGAGAAGTACATTATGAACCACAAGGGAGACAAACAAAGCACACAGGTGGACAAAAAGAATCAAGTCAGCTCTAGGGAATTTAAAAAAAAAAAAAAACTGTGGGTGAATCACACAAAAACGTGTCAGGGGCGTTTTTTATTATTTTGATTCAGTGTGAAAAAACAATTATACTTACATAATTACAACAATTACATAATGAAAATGTAGCCTATTCAGGACCATTAAGATTTATTTTTCTTCAAAAATCTTTTGGCATAGCATGTTCAGACTTGGTGCAATTCCAGTTATTATTCTCTAAAGTGAGTATCATTCCTGTAAAAATTTCTGCATAATGAAAGTTTAATAATATTCAGTAGACAAATACTACAATGATACTTATATACCATAAATATGAACAAATATAAATAATTAAATAATATACATGTAATTTACAAATAAAATAATGTGCATTACTGTTCATAAATTAATGGTAAGACTTTTAAGAAAAAGCTTTAAATTGTAATTGTATAATATGAAAAATGTTTCAAATAAATGCTTTTATGGTTTCCACAAAAATATTATGAAACAGAAATGCTTTCAGCATTGGTCAGAAATGTTTCCTGAGCACCAAATCAGCACATTATGATGATTTCTGAAGGATCATGTGACACTGAAGACTGGAGTAATTGCTGCTGAAAATTCAGCTTTGCAATCAAAGGAATAAATTACATTTTAAAATATACTGAAATATAAACATTTCGAATTGCAATGCTATTTCACAGTATCATTGTTTTACTGTATTTATAATTACATAAATGGAGAGTAAGAGTGAGAATAAGAGACTAAGAGAATAAGAGATTTCTTCAAAAACAGTATTAAAAAAAAAAGCCTTACCAACCTAAAACTTTACAGTAATGTATATTTTTTGTATTAATGTATATTTAATGTATATATTCTTTACAATAGTGATACTTTCTCAACGGGGTGATTCAATGAGAATTTAAATCACCCCAATGACATATTGTAAGGGCAAATTTGAAGATTTTCAATTATACATTTCAAATAAAAAAGTAAATACATAAATAAAAAACCTAATGTCATAAAGTTATAAAACAGGCTTCATTTTCTTTTCTCATTTTTTTTTTTTTTTTTTTTTTGAGGTGAAATATGACCCAGACTTGGTCTTGCTGATGGGTTTTGTGAGATTCACCCCTGTAGCACAACTAACGCTACAGACTCTTGACTGAAGGGATCAAATCTGTCCACAAACTCAGCAGAGGGGAACTCACACACACACACACATACACACACAGAGAGAGAGAACACACATTTGAGACCGAATAAATACCCAAAGAACGACACACCTGAATTTGTTTACTCACTACTGTCAGAAGAGAGATGATGCACTGGGGCCTCGTCATAAAGTTCAAATGTTGAACTGAGACAACCTTTGCCAACAGCTGCAGATTAACAACAACTACTGCTGCAGATAGACACATTCAAAGCAAAGACGAGCCTACCCTTAACAATATGATCGAACAACAAGTAAGTGATGACAGAATTATTTTGTTTTTTTCAAACCACCCAGATTGCTTTAGGTGGTTTGTCCCTCCAATAATAATATAAGCTGCTTTGGATAAAAGCATCTCTTGAATACTCAAGTCCAATCAGACACTTTATGAACACATCAGCATAGACACAGAAAGAATGACTTCACCTTTCCAACAGTGTAGTATTAGTCGTTGTCGATGTCAAATGTGCAGCAATCAATATTTTATTTTTCCCTCAACAGTAACTGTGTCATCATAATTTCGGTGAGACTGTCTGACTACAACTTTGCCATCCCACCAAGTGATTTCGAGCAAAAATGGCTTGAAAATATCTTGTGCTGATGACTCACAGCCAGACTCCTCTAAGCAGGGTAAGATCTGCTGCTCATGTCAGAGCGGGAGCTGTGCGGTTGATCGTGTTTTTAGGACCGAAGATAGAATGAAGCCATAGCAGAAAAAAGGCCTCTGGTTCTTAGACAAACAGCATAGCACAGCTGCCCGAGCCACTGCTGAGGCTTTTATTTCTAGCCCGTCTTATGGATGTTTACACAGAGTCTATTAAAATGCACAGCAATTCACTAGAATAGATGTGTGAGGAGCTTTTGAGATATTTCTGACACACACACACGCACAGAAATACCACAATGCTGTATTTACAAAAGGTCCAGTAAAAAGAAAATATATTAAGTAAAATATTTTTGGCAAAAAAAATACAAGGCTGGGTGGGGACAAAAAACAAAGCAGATATTATTTGCACCCAAATAGAGCACCAAGAAGCACCAAGGCTACAATTTATTTTAGCTGTAATGTATTTATTAAAATGCATTATAAACAGTAATATTATGATATGTTATTACAATTTAAAATATTTTCCTTATTTGCATGTATTTTCAATGTAATTTATTCCTGTGATGGCAAAGCAGAATTTTCAGCAGTATCATCACATGAATCATTGTTATTATTCAGAAACATTTATCATTATCAATACTGAAAACAGTTGTGCTGCTTAATATTTTTGAGGAAATCATGCTACATTTTCTCAGTACCCTTTTATGAATAGGAAGTTCAAAAGAACAGCATTTATTTGAATTAGAAATCTTTTGTAATATTAAACATGTCTTTACTGTTTAATCAATTTATTGTTTTCTTGCTGAACAAAAGTATTAATTTCTTTTAAATAAAAAACAATGTGCATACATAGGCCTACGTATGTCGTACGTATATGTCTAGAAAGAGAATGAAAAGTAGGAGTTGGATAAGAAAAAACAAATGTTTTAAGTTAGATTTAATTTGGGTTGTCTATGCAAAAATACCATTGCATTTTCGTCACATTTTTTTTTTTTTAAATAGTCATCGCGTTCTAGCAGACTATTGTTATGCAAATAGCCATGCTGTGCATCCAGTTCTATTTAAACCAGGTGTAAATGGTCACTCAAAATTGTAGGAGAACAGAACAAGAAAAGGGCGAAAGAGTACAGAAATGGTGCGAAAAATGAAAGAAGACAGAGAAGGAAGCCTAATTTAGGCTGAACGAGTGCTTCCCTCAGGATTACTAGTTGGAGCGGTGTGTGTTTGTGAGTGAGTGTGTGTGTAATTCCCAGAATGCAGATTTCGACGCTGAAGCCTAATCTGGTTGATGCGGATCATAAGCGCCAGAGATGATCCTGTTATTACACATATGAGGATATGACCACGGACATTCCCCACGATACAGCTTCTGCTCTCTGTTCATAAACACACACACACACACACACACACACTACAGCACCCTCAGCCTGAGATGTTCCTTAAACGTCTAATGGAAGCATAAAAAGAGATTATGGAGAACACACTGGAGATGGAGGAATAAGTGTTTGCACAGAGGGTTCCACAGGGGTTCAGGGTTAAAGCTGGATTTCTGCCCTCTCTCTTGCTCTGGGTCTCAGTATGTTTGTGCATCTGCAGCCTTTTATGACAAACCTTCTGCCTGGTGTTTTTATTCTATTCGTCGTCATGGCAGCACAATCGGGAGCTGCCAATCAAGGCCGACACAAACAATCAGATCACAGCATCAGAGACGTTGGCTAATGAAGAAATTAGGCTGTCGTCTGTGAGAATGTTTATGCGCATTTAGTACAATGCTTCTCATCTCCTCAAAGCAAATAGGGACAGTCAGTGCATTTTTACATTTACATTTCAAACACATTTTCGGCCTTTATTTAAAATGATTCCTCCAGGTTTATAAATAAACTGCACAGCTTCAGAAGAGACAATGTAAGAGACGCACAGCTTAGAGTCGACATGGAAAACACTCAAAATGCACAACTTGTAAAGAAAAAAAAAAAAAAAAAAAATAAAAGAAATTTTTT